CCACAGATACATTATAACCGTAGCTATAAATGTCTTTTAGCCATGAACAGAATAACATTTAACCACGAACAAATTGTCCGTAGCTAAAGCTCAACTTTTTGCCACAGAAATCGAATTGTTCATGGTTATATCTCATATTTTAGCTACGGATTTTTTGACCGCAGCTATAGCCCCATTTTCCTGTAGTGTGCTAAAACCTCCCCTGAAGTTTCTAAGCATTCCTGAAACTTTCCCTGAAAGTTGATAATTGTTAATAAGTATTAGTCATTTTTAAAACAGTAGAGGTCTCATTAGTTAATTTTAAAACAGTAAGAATTAACTTAATCAATTAGTTAAATCATAAGAGTAGCTTAAGAAATTTACCTTATTTATAATTTCAAAAATAATTTCCTTCCCCAATCCTTTTCGTTCACCACTGAACTTCTAAAACTCCATCCGCCACGATTGCTCTCCAAAACCTTCCGTTCGAATTGGACCGTTAGTTTTCTTCTAGTCTCTCCGTGTGCAAGAAATTATCTCTACGTAACCAGAAATATTCTTAGTAATATTATTTTTTGATACCACAAAAATTGCCTAGTATTTGTAGTGATAGATTTGCCTCTTTTCGTTTCGCTTCATAAAGTGTCCGATACGATGCATATTTTTCTTCGTCAGTGTTTACATCTCTTTTCAGAAGCATTTTGCTATGTGTTTATTGATTTCGTATTGGAATTGAGGATTAACCTCTAACCTGATGTTCTTTAACTAACAAGCAGCTTCTCATGCTTAGCTTTACTGTAAAAGAAGTTTTCTAGAGTTCTTATAATCTGCTTTTGTCTCCAGCTCTAGAAGCGGGACCCAATAATTACAACTACAGTCTCACTGAAATGGAGGGGGTGATTAGAGATTCAATACGAATAAGAAGAAAATTAGATGATGGGTGAAGGGTATTTTTGTTCTTTTATATGATACTTAACGTTTATTAACAGTTTTGGGCCAATTTAATACTTTTTAAAGGTTTGAATATTATAGTGACACATTTAAAAATTCGAGTACTAGCTTGACACAACCCCCAAAGGTCAGGGTATTAAAGTAGAATTTTCCTTATTTCTATTTAATATGATAAATGTAATACCAAAGATGTGACCAAATGTTTTATACAAAATTTCTATATTCCTATCTTGGTTGGGCCATCGTCCCACCACCTAGATAAGAAAATAATTTTATTTTTGAATTAGTTTTAAATATATTATATTTCATTTACATGATTAATACAAATAAGAGTGTATGTTGATAGGTTGTGCCAAGTTTGTGATCAACCTTGGCTTAACAACTTAAGGCCTGAGCCCGAATTAAAGCGTCACCTATCCAACCTAAGTTCAGGTTCAACTGTAATTTGGCATATTCAGGTTAAGCCCCAGCACAAGTCGACCTTGAGTTGTTAAATTGGGCTTAAGTAGGCCTATCAGGCCCAATGTAGTAAAAATTTGCATTAACCAATTGACGATCAATAGTTTAAACCTTTAAATAGGATTAAAATATCAATACGTCTGATACTGTGAATTGGGATGCATATCGATATGATCAATATAATATTGATTTTTATTTTTCTTACCTTTTTGTGATTTATAAGTATTCGAGGGTCCACTTATTACTTCAGAATTTTAAGGTTTTTAAAAAATTCTTGTATTGATGTATCCAAGCATACTTGGGTACACTAATACAAATGCAATTGTTTAATATTAATAATTCAATCCTTGTACATGCATATATGTATCTATGGACTACGTGTGTATAGTTGGGCCGAGACTAAGTTAGGCTAAGGTTAGGTTTGGGCTCAAGGTACCAAAGGGTTAAGACCATGTCCAACCTGAATAGATGAAGCGTAGGGTTTTATCACACATATTTTATTTAATATGATTAGATAATAAGTTTTAGGGAGAATAACGGTTCAGCTCATTATCAGAATTTTTAGGCACAAAGTACTATTGAGGTAGGTGCCAGTTCGGAATTGATGCCAATTCACAGGCGGACATTAGTGCATGGAGTGTAGTGTGGGTATTTAACATTTTGAATGTTTATAGGTTTACAGTGAAATTCAGAAATCTGCATTGAGCCTATCTGTACTCTTCCATAAGTTTTAAGGTTTAAAAAATCTACATTCGTCATTCTGACAACTGACAGAATTGTATCAACGACCCCACACTATGCACCCCATGCACGCGAAACATCATCCCATAACAAGTACGGGATATGTTCCCAATCTACGGTGAGATATGCATGTGGGGTGCCAATCAGAAGTCCTTTAAAGCCTACTTAAGCGGTGAATGATAGAGAATAGGCATTTGGGTGACTATTTTACCTTTAAAGTTTTATTATATGCCAACAATACCCTTTGAACATGTTTTGCTCTCAACATCTCCAAAGGAGATTGGTTTTGGGTTGGATCCAATCCAATCCAAACCTTATCAAATCAGATTTAGACGGTCCATATAATTATTGGATTGGGCCAATCTAAAATAAATTGGTCTATATTCTTATTTGTCTGAATTAGACCTAAACCAAAATCCCAATAATCTGATCATGAGGCCAAACCCTTGTCCAATTTGAAATTGATCAAAACTGAAGCCGACATAGAATCACTTTTATGAAAGTACTTTTACAAAAGCACTTTTATAAAATTAGTTTTATAAAAGTACTTTTACAAAAACACATTTACAAAAATACTTTTATGAAAGCACTTTCACAAAAGTGCTTTTATGAAAACACTTACCGAAACAGTTTTATAAAAGCACTTTTACTAAAGCACTTTTATAAAAGTACTTTTACATGAAAGCAATTTTACAAAAGAACTTTTATAGAAATATTTTTATAAAAGCACTTTTATGGAAGCACTTTTACAAAAGAACTTTTATGGAAGTACTTTTATAAAAGACTTTACCAAAGGAATTTTATGAAAGTACTTTTAAAAAAACACTTTTCCAAAAGCACTTTTATGAAAACTTTTACGAAAGTACTTTTTATAAAAGCACTTACACAAAAGTACTTTTATAGAAGTACTTTTATGAAAGCATTTTTACAAAAGCACTTATACGAAAGTACTTTTAAAGCACTTCTATGAAAGTACTTTTACAAAAGCACTTTTATAAAAGTGCTTTTTCAATGCCGAAAGAGTATATTTTTGTAATTTTTAGATCTCTTCATTTTAATATATTTTTGTTATTTTTAAATGTTTTGTTTTTTTATATATAATTTTTGATATTTCATTCGATTTGGATCAGATCCAATCTATTCCATTTACATTTTAATGTATTGTACTGGATTTGGTGTGTATTAGATTTGGATTCGATTGGATCCAATCCATTACTAATTGGACCAAATCCAGTCCAATTGACACCTCTAAATCGTTTGAGCCAACCCAACAAACCCGTATTAATCTGACTCTCTACTACATAGGATTGTAACAATCAGATCAGTAAACGGAGTTTCCACCAACACGTTGCAAGTTTAAGAGTCCCACTATTGTGGTTAAGGGTGTTCACGAGTTGGGTTGGGGTGGTTTATTGGGGTTTTCCCAACCAACCCGACCTGGTCGGGTTACCTGAGGTGGAAACCAAAACCGACCCACTGATAAACCAAACCGACCTGGCCGGTTTGAGTTGGGTTGGGTTGGTTTGGGTCGGTTTCGATTTTGCTCCTGTACAAAAAGACACCTAATTGAATTCTAAATGTAATTGGCTAATGGGTTGCCTATTTGGTGTAAAAAATTATAGAAAGTTAGAAACTAGGATAGATTGCCTATTTTAATTGTAATTGCCTAATGGGCCTTCTAGTTCTAGTAGGAAACTACTCAAACTATGAACTACCGAACTAGTTCAGGTCGAATCGGGTTAGTTTCGGTTTTCACACAATAAAACCGAAACCGATCCGATATATCAATTTATATATTTTTCAACCCGAAACTGACCGATACTGATGAAAACCTGACCAACTCAAATTGGATCGTTCTGAATTGATCGATTTGGTCGAGTTGGACATTCTTATAAACAGCCTAGTTGTGGTAAACCACATACAATACGATGGATGACCACAACCCACGTGAATAACGGTGAATTAAGCGGAAGACGACAACCGCTAGTCATGACGAGGTTGTGCTGCAGAGAGCCCCCGGTAGCTTCTGATCACAAGATCCACGAGTAAGCAAATGTTAGATGCTTACGTCCGCATGAAATGAAACGAAATAAAGCACCCCCGCAATTGGATACCGGGACCCACAGCATTAAAACATTGGGAGATAACGTACTGCGGATCATTTGCCATGTGTCGGATATTCTACTGTTAGTTTGTTGGGATAACATTATTAATCAAAAAACAATAAAATGGTCGTAAATCAACAAGCTAGACCCATCACGACATGAAGAGAGATAAGACATTAGAATACACGGTGGAGTAACTCATCGCCGTGTGGGTAACGAGTTAGGACTTGGGAAAAGAACAAACATAAAGAAAGAAAATGTGGGGTAGGGGGGGTGGGTTCTAGGAGATTCCAATCTGACGTCAGAAAGCTCACCCACTCATTAAGAAGGATCCACCATTAATAAAATACTACTGTTTAGTGTTTAATAAACGTAATAGAGATGAGCAAGCAGATAACACGTAAGCGTATGACCTCGGGTCAGGGCCGACTAAGCAAATGAGTGGTGCAAATAAGCACGAGGCCGAATTAAGGCAAAACTTAATTATCTAAATGGGAAAAAAAAATCCAAAGAAAAAAGAGACCGCACGAACCAAAAAAATAAAAAGGGAAACTGGGAAAGCCATCGTTTGACCGTTGAGAACATCCACGTACAATGCATCGAAACCTCTCTACCGAAGGTCGAATACCACGTGTGAAGAATTCCCGGCCATTGGATTTCACAGTTGTAGGAATCTTGACCCTCGATTTGGGACCAATCAGACGCTTTTTCCAAACCAATTTAAATGCGGAGGGAGAAGTATAAAACTACCTGCGCGACGGACGACGTTGCGTCCATAGATGGCGGAAGAGCCAGCTGATCATCAAGGGAGGATGAAAGAAGGCGAGGAGGAGAGAGAGGTTCGGCACAGAGGCGTGAGGAAGAGACCTTGGGGGAAGTTCGCCGCCGAGATTCGGGACTCCACCAGGCACGGAGCTCGGCTGTGGCTGGGTACTTTCAATACTGCAGAGGAGGCGGCCAGAGCTTATGATCGGGCTGCCTACGCAATGAGGGGTCCTTTGGCCATCCTCAATTTCCCAGATGAATATAAATTGCCACGCCATGACTGTCTGTCGTCGAGCTACTCTTCCTCTGTGCTGGGGTCATCGTCGTCTTCTGAGTACGAGAGTGCAAAGAGTGGGAACGGGAAACAAATTATTGAATTGGAGTGCCTGGATGATAAGCTGTTGGAGGACCTCCTTGATTTCGAGGGGAAGAACAAGAAACAGTAGTAGTTTAGTTTTGAACGCAACTGTTTTTAGGGCTAAAATCCTGAGACCCAGAACCCAAATATGGTTCCACTTCAGCAAGTGTTCTTCTCTGGAATGCTATTAGTCTAAGTAGTTCTGAAAGGGGATTGATTGTTGGAGAGTGATATTTTTCAGTTTCTTCAAATCTAGGATGATGTAATGTTTGTCAATGTAAAAGAAAAAAAAAATTAGAGTAATATTTTAATATATAAAATTTGCACTCTTATTTCTATATATATATATATATAAGGTTACATCAATCTATTTAGTTTCGTTTGTAGAGAATAGTTCCAAACTTCCATAGCACCTCTATATGGCTTAATTAATTGACTTCTTTAGAACCCCAATTTATTTGACCAGTCACAATCCCATAAATTTTGGTGAAAACCCACCTGATCATTGATTCTTACTTTTATGATGATGCTAGTTGGTTGATTGTAAGTTTTTTTAGTACTATATCTTTTTGGCATCATAGTCAAACCCTGAATATATTTGTATTTACACTATTCCCAAATGAAGCCATAAAAAATAAAAATGAATCAAATAAATTGGGGTTTTGTGCTTTTGGGCTTTGAAAGCACAAACCCTGAAACTTATCCAATCACAACCTAATTTCCTAATAGCAGATGAAATCGGTAACGGGGTTAATAGACAACGGTGGGATTTTGATTGGTTTTGTTTACAGACATTATATTCAATGACGGGCAAGATTAATTCCTGTTTTTGTTGTTGTTGTTATAACATGTCAAAGCTTATAAAACTAAAACACTTGCAACAAATTTGGACGCGTTGATGTAATAGCAAGACTGTTTCTGATTGCTAGGACAATATATAAATGATGTTTGAAGAAATGCAACTTATTTCCATTTTCTTTCAATAATAGGATAGAAATATGACTAACTAGTTTGGATGATGATGATGACAATGACAATGACAATATTACGTCAAATACTTTTCATTGAAGACTTTAAAAGCATTAAAAGACTCAACTGTTATGTATCACTACTTTTATCACCGGTTCAAGTTTCTCTGCTTGGCAGTGCAGTTCATTGCCATAGATTTTGCCTATATCTAATTAAAGTAGCCAGTGAATACTTAGGAGTTCAAAATGTGTGGATGACAGCGTGAGATAGCAACATTGGAGTGAATATCACCCACAATTAGCATCTGGAAGGCAACGAAGCAGTCAAGCCGCCCGCCCACTTGAATGCACACAAATTCAGAAAAAGACATGATGACATTCAAATGAAATCAGCAGTCCTATCAAGACTTTAAGTCTCCCTTTGTTTGCAGTTCAATTTCATTTTCATTGGTAGGAATGCAAATTAATTAGAAGAATAATGTGACTATACTTTGTTTTTGCTTGCAGTTTTACTAATTTACTTTGCTTTAGGTAGGCAAATTAATGAAACATAGCAAAATTTAAAACAAAAATAAATCTGCAGAAAGATGAACCCAATTTAATGTTGAATTGTGAAAGTTTTTTCAAGATCAAAGTTGGGTTGGTTAGACGTTTGTAAGATTTTAATTGGATCCACAAATGCAAAAAAAAAAAGAAAAGAAAAAGGGCAAAGATATCTAACCAATTTGATTCTGCGCGCGGGATGGATATTGTACTTTCATGTGAAGAAGCTTTGTTCCAAAAAACCAGGATTCAACAGAGAAAAACACGTGACAAGCAATAGATAAATAGGGTTTGTTTGGTGGGGGAGAATGACAATTTCTTTAACCATTCAAATCACATTAGCTCTTCCATCTCCAGACGATATTGCTTGCCTACCTAGTAACATGGTTGCGTTGAGCTAGGCGTGGTGATTTTTGTTGGATTTTAATCTCATAAGAGATTAAATCCAATGGGTTTCATTGGTCAATTACATGAGAAATTGCACCTACACACTTGATTTAAAAATCTGTTTTTCTCTTACAAAATCCAGTTTTGAACTTGTCCCACATTGGATAATTATAAGGTTTGTTTTCAGTATTTTAATAGGAGCTGATTTACACTCCTTAGAATTAGTAGAGGAGAGTATGGGGATTCGATACCACGCAACGCACGCGCACGCGTGGCTTGCGATGGGCGGTTTTGGTTTTGGTGCGTTGATGACCGTTGATCACCGTTGATGAGATCAACGGTCACGATTCGATCGGGTGTGATCAAGAGGCACAATTCAAAGTTAACAGT